AATTGGTTATAGCCCATTAATTGTTTCAAAGCTCTACTTAAACTAGTCGCCCAGAAAAAAAATCTCAATGCCAAAAGGCATTGCAAGGCCAAACAATTCAAGCAAAGCATAATACTTCAATAACTGGCATTGTCAGATTCTAATCTTGATTGCATATGAATCGAGGCATTTTGCTAGTCTAGTGTAGTCCTCTTAACGGGAGCTGATCCGCTGTCCCCAATTCGGTGTCCCCTTCATATCCCTTCTTTAAATGTTTGACAAGTGTCATATCACTTAACCATAATATAACAGTGTTAACTTAATAAAATAAAAAACTAAAAATTGAAAAACAAAATAACAATAAATCATAACAGCCACGGTTACCAAGTCCCTCCGCCCAGCAAACACCAACAGTGGCTGCTATGATTTAAAGAAGGAACATGAAGGGAACACCAAATTGGGGACAGCGGATCCGCTCCCCCTCTTAACGGGGATATCAAACGAGGCCTCAAGCTCCTTGCTTATTTCAACACCAAGTTGGTGTTTCATATTCAAAATTTATTCATCCTAATTATTTTAACACAGGAGATATATCTAATTAATTGTACTTGATTTTAAAAATCAGGACAGAGAATCTTTCAACTTGAAAAGGCAAATACGGAAATCTAGGCGACACATTTGCTTGACTAAACATGCTTTGACTTTTTGTCCATGTGAACGTTCATTATTATTTTGCTTATTTTTAAAACAAAGTCTATATAGCGATTCTCAGACTCAACCTTGTTTTTTTGTTTTGTTTAGTGAAATAACCTTTTGTTTTTGTTTTTTTTATATAGGAATTAACCTTTTTTTATTTTATTACTTTTCTTGATGCTTAAGAATATTAATTCTTAATTGTTGATGATGGTTGGTAGATAAGTACAATAATGCTCGCCCACATTCATTATTTTTTCTTGACATTTTTTTATTTGTGACGTTAGTGTGTTATATTTAAGGATATTAAATCATAATTGTTGATGTGACACCAAGACTGTACTAGTTGTTGCCTTCTTCAATAATATATTATCACATTTTATAAAATAATAAATAATAAATAATAAATAAAATAGTTGCAATAATACTTGGTAGCTATTCAGTTAGAGAAGAACAACTCAAATTTCAAAGTCGTCTTCGTTGTCTACACTCTTTATCCGGTGAGTCGGTGACCGTTGGTTTATGTGTTAAAATCACATTTGAAATCTAAGGTTGCGTTTGGCATCTGTTTCATAATCAATTTTTCCCCAAAAAGATCGACTCTGACTTCGTCTTTGCTCTTCCAGAATTTCCTTTTAATTCTTCCACTTTTCAATCTGATTTTGGAAGTTTTTGAAATTAGTAGATGGATTTGCTGTTTTATGCAGACAACATGTTCGACCAAATGCCTGAGAAGAAGCCGTAACTAAAATACCACATACAGGTTTCCAATTTTTAATACCAAACAAGTTATCAAGTTTCCAATTCAAATGTTCGGATTCAATCCCAATTTCTGAAAAGGGGTTCCTAATTGCCAACCAAACGAGGCCTAATTTTTTAAAATGGGCCTTTTCGTGTATCAGATTTGGGCCTTCCGTAATGCATGTTTTTGGGCTACGATAAAACTTCCACTAGAGTCTGCTCTGTTGTGAAAAACCAGTTCCCCCTGGCATGCGAAATTTCTGGCACTTTTGGCCAAAGCTGGAAGAGAACTCCTCCCTGATAAATGGATAAATGTTCACTTCTGTTTCTGTACTCAAAACAAAATAAACTCCCTGATATATAACCACAAAGACATTAATAATGCCTTGGTAAACCAAGTGCAAAATTATATAAAATTCTGTTCAGGTTTTGGCCATTACACCTCCACATGGTTTACACAGCTCACAGCGGATGCAGCGTTACTCGAACACCATGTTGTGGCCTAACCGTAAGAAAATGAAACGGGGAGTGAACGTAGGCCGACGACAGGGTGAAGGAGTAGTGTTGTAGAATCATTGACAGAGCAATCTTTACTTCAATGGTTGCAAAATTGAAGCCCACACAAGTTCGAGGTCCCATTCCAAAGGGCAAGAATGCGACCATGTTATCCTTGGTAGCTTTAGCAACCCCTTCTGAGAATCGCTCTGGTTTGAAAAGTTGCACGTCTGCTCCCCAAAATTTAGCATCATGATGAAATGCTAGGTTTGGGATTTGCAGTTCAACATTAGCAGGGACTACGAGATTTCCCAGTCTAACTTCCCTCGCGGCTTTCCTTTCGAAGAAAATAACAGGAGGGTATAATCTCAGAGACTCATTGATAATCATACTCATCTGCATTGCATGCATCAAAGTCAAAATTAGACAACAAATCTGCATTTCAAGCTTAAAAGCAAACAAGTAATTCACTAATATATTTTCTTACTGTTTTGAGCTTGGAAATGCCCTCAGGGTGTGGATTTTGTTTGCCAAATAGTTGCAGGACCTCCTTTCTTGCTTCCTCTTGCCAATCTCTATGGAGGGCCAGAAGAAATACAGTCCAAGCAAGTAAAGAATTAGTGGTTTCTTGTCCAGCAAAGTAAAAAGTCTTGCACTCGTCGACCAAATCGTCCACTGAAATCCTCTGCTTCTCATTGGTGTCATGGTGAGCCTTTAAAAGCAATCCAAGAAAATCACTTCCAAACCCGTCTTCCTCTCCCCCCATTGCCTTCTTTTCTCTTTTCTTAATAACCTCCATTACGCTATTGCGTATTCCTTTCTCAAGCTCCGCTGATTCGATTTCATCTCTGGTTTTAAAGATCTTACTGCAATAGTGAATGAAAGAACATTGGTGATCAATATTCTCTGCAAGCTTAGAAGAAAACTTAGTTTTATGCATAACAAGCCTGAGTTACCTGATACCAGGAAACCTAAGTTTGAGAGCATTTTTGAATGTCAAGAAGGATAACTTCATCAACATCTCAAAGATGTTCTTCCCTTCCAAGTAGCTGCTGCCAAATGCTGTTCTGGAAATCACTTCTGAAGTGAAGAACCTGAATTCGTCATACACTTCAATCTCTTTGCTTTCATGGTTCTTCAACCTTTCAAGCATCGTCTCGCCGCTAGCTATCATCGCTGGAATCATACTCTGATCAACACAGTCGGAAAATTTTACTTGTAAATTTCAACCCTTCATTTATTCTGTTTCACTTTTAGAAAAATGCTGTTGGAAGAAAGAATCACCAATAATAACTTTAGGAAGTTACTTTTAAGCTCTCTCCATGGAAGGCATGGTTGGCCAGCTTTCGCAACTTGGACCATTTTTCACCTGAGGATCTCGTGAGGCCATCTCCTAATAACTTCTTCACATATCCTAAAGTCTCTGTTTTCTGAAGAGCCCCGTCTTTGTTATTCAATATCTCTTTGCATATTTCAGGTTCCGTAATGACCAGCTGAGCTTTAGAGCCATGCCATTGAAGATAATTCTTCCCTGTTTCCAAAGATTACCAAAGTTTATTTTGCAGCTAATTAAGATTCGAAAAGAAAACAGAAAAAATAAACCATAGGTGAAGGAAGAAGAGTTTCTTTCTTTACCATATAACTTGGTCCACAACTGAATATGAGGTTGAACTTGAGGAAAGATGTCATGTGATAAGCTCTTGGGCCTGCTCATAGCTTCCTTTTTCATATTGGAGATTTCTTTGGTGTTTCCATGGATAAGTCTGTAAGAAGGGCCTTTGATCCCCTGCAGAGCCATGAGCTTCTGTATGCGAACCGGCTTCCACCATAGCTTTTCAAACATCTTGACGAGAGCTAGCAGCAGCGACAGACACAGAAAGCTTGAGAGAAGGATCACCGGCTCTCTGCACCAACTCATTTTTTGTAATTGTTCTCTCTTGATCTCCTCCTTGGCTGTAGCTCTCCTCTGTTTCTTAGTTTTCTTCTTCTTGTGTTCTTCAACAAGCTTCTTGCTCTTAACAAGTCCCTTGCTCTATGTGGATAATAAATATTACTTTGGAAACATGTTGCCATCGTTGACCTCAAAAATGCGTCTCTTAGCTTCTAATAGACAATGGAAGGCAGGGAATATTGCATATATGTTTATACATATCATATCGCGTCACTGATCACGGTGACTTGTTGAAAACCTAAAGCTGGCATTGTCGGCGCATTAAAAACATGACGTGTATATATATATATATATATATATATATATTGGAATCTCAGCTCACGTACGAGTACGAATGTATCCATGTCTAAATATAGGAGAATCATAATAAATAGTGGGACAGGACAGCGGCTCTGATAGCTACCTTCTGTATTGGCTAAGGTTTATTAAACACTTGGTTGTTGAAACTTACGGTAATTATTGCACACTTTAGGTGGAAAGCGTGACCACACAAGAAATGTAGATGTGTGATTGATAGCAACGTTAAATAGAAATCCTATCAGTCACATATAGTCGCTATCAAAGATGCTATTAAACTCTCTTTCATTGTATTAATTAAGACCTACCATTGTGTGTTATACCTTCTTTTTTCTTTTTTTCTTTTTTATATAAAAATTTTAATAAGCGATGTTGGGGAAGGGGGAATCAAATATAGGACCTTGGAAGCATGGACAAATGCTCTTAACCACTAAAGCTACAAGACCCTTGCCCATTTTGTTACATGTTTGTCTACAATTTCATGGTCAGTTTATATCGGTCACACGCAAGTCACAGTGTGTGTAGAATTACTTGAACTCCGTGTTGTGGGCGAACTGTAATGTACTGCAAAGGAGAGTGGACATAAGCAGGGGAAAGGGTGAAGGAGTAGTGTTGTAGAATCATTGACAAAACAGTCTTTGCTTCAGTGGTTGAACCCAACGCAATTTCGAGGTCCCATTACGAAGGGTAAGAATGCAGCTATTCTGTTCTTTGTGGCTTTAGCAATCCCTTCAGAGAATCGCTCCGGTTTGAAAAGGTACGTCTTCTCCCCAGAGTTGAGGCTCATGGTGAATTGCTAGACTTGGGATGAATATTTCAACATTAGCAGGAACTATGAGCTTTCCTAGTCTATAACTTCCCTTTCAATGAATATTTCAACATTAGCAGGAACTATGAGCTTTCCTAGTCTAACTTCCCTTTCAACTTTCCTCGCAATGGAAACAATAGGAGGATACAACCTTAGAGACTCATTGATGATCATACCCATCTGTATTGCAATTTGCATGCATCAAAAGGAAAAATAGAGAACAAATCAGGATTTTATACATATTAGTTGAACATTTTTTTGTCACTTGGACAAACAATTGACTGTGTGACATTCTTACTGTTTTTAGTTTGGCAAGGCCATCAGAGTTTGGAGTTTGTTTGCCAAATATTTGCAGGATCTCCTTTCTTGCTTCCTCTTGCCAATCTGTATGGAGTACCAGGAGAAAGACAGTCCAAGCCAGCAAAGTACTAGTGGTTTCTTGGCCAGCAAAATAAAATGTCTTGCATTTGTCAACCAAATCATCCACCGAAATCCTCTGCTTCTTATTGGAATCATGATGAGCCTTTAAAAGTAATCCAAGAAAATCACTCCCAAAGCTGTCTGTTTCTCCAATCATTATCGCCTTCTCTTCTCGTTTCTTGACAATCTCTATTATGCCCTCTCGTATTCCTTTCTCTAGCTTCTTTGATTCGACCTCATCCTTGGTTTTAATAAGCTTACTGCAACATAGAATAAAGATATGAACATGTGAAGTGGGAACAGAACATCATTAAAATTGATAAGTCATAAAGAAATTCAACAAAATGAAGTTACCTGATGCCAGGAAACCTGAATTTGAACAAATTTTTGAATATCAAGAAGTATAACCTCATCAACATCTCAAAAACGTTCTTCCCTTCTAAGTAGCTGCTGCCAAATGCTGTCCTGGAAACCACTTCTGAAGTCAACAATCTAAATTCTTCGAACACCTCAATCTCTTTGCCTTCATGTTTTTTCCACCTTACTAACATCGTCTCAACACTAGCTGTCATTGTTGGAATCATACTCCAGTAAAAAAAAAACAAACAAAAAACAAACAACAATGCCATATCATACACTTCGAAAATTTGCAAGACTTGGCAGTAACTGTAAGTCTGCACAACTTTCTTTTAAGCTATCTCCATGGAAGGCATGGTTGGCCAGCTTTCGCAATTTTCCCCATTTTTCACCTTATGTTGATGCAAGGCCATCTCCTAATAGTTTCTTTACATAGGCTTGAGGCTCCCTTTTTGGATAAGCTCTGTGTTTGTTATTCAGTATCTCTTTGCACAACTCAGGTTCCCCAATAACTAATTGAGCTTGAGAACCATACCACTGCAGAAAATTCTTCCCTGTTGGAGAAAAAAAAAGGCCAGATTATTTCTCAGAACTAAGATTTAAAAGCCAAGTTAGGTAAGAGTTTATTATTACCATATATCTTGGTCCATGAAAGAATATGAGGTTGAACTTTAGGTAATATATCATGTGATAAATTCAGGGGCCTTCCCATTGTTTCCTTTTTCATGCTCATGATTTCTTTGTTGCTTCCGTGGATAAGTCTGTAAGAAGGGCCCTTGATTCCCTGCAAAGCCAACATATTCTGGATGAGAATCGGAGTCCACCATAGTTTGTGAAAGATCTTGATGAGAACTAAGAGAAGGAACAAAAACAGAAATCTTGAAAGAGTGATTACTGGATCTCTGAAACCAACTCATTTTCCTGGCTATTTTTCTCTTTGGCTGTATCTCTGAACCTGCTGATTTCCAATTGGGATACTTATGGATTTATTACTTAATTGGGATGCATGTGGTATAAGATTACGACACAAAGAAGATGCCAGTTTCGTCCCTAACAAGATGACCCTGCAATATTATATGGCTTCATTGTGGATTATGTGCTCGCTTTGCTAACAACCAATGACACTGCAACATTATTAAAATTTGTGACTAACTGGACTATACTAAACTTTGTGCAGCCCTCTTTATCAATTCCTTTGTCATGTTGGAGATTTCTTTGGTGTTAATCCACCAAATTTACCCATCACTTCTCTCTTCATTTCCTCTGTAGTCTGTTTCTAAGTACCCTTATTTTCTTGGCATGTGCAATGTGCAATTTCTTTGGCCGTTCCCAAGTTTGAAGAAAACTCCCTTATACTTGTTCATTTTTGTACACATCAGTGATCAGAATCATGTATATATGTAGGTTCCCATGAACCTTATTATTTTCATATTTTGGGCTATATGCATTAGTGCAGTTCATGCTAATGTGCTGCCTGGGGTTAGAGATGCTCTTTGGGTTCCCAAAACGTTTTATTTCATCAATGGAAATTCTACCAGAAACATGCAGCAAAGCAGCAGAACAGGAGGTTAAATTTTTACAAACTTCACAGCAGACATTACAATCTTTTAAAATAACAAGCTAACCATGTCCAAGGGCATTAGGTAATCCATACACCAAGTCCAAGATTATGGGCAATTCTGGTTCTTTCAGTTCACAGTGAGTGTAGCATTACTTGAAGTCCATGTTGAGGGCGAACTGTAAGAAGCCGAAAGGGAGAGTGGACATAGGCCGGGGAGAGGGTGAAAGAGTAGCGTTGTAAAATCATTGACAGAACAATCTTTACTTCATTGGTTGCAAAGTTCAAACCCACACAATTTCGTGGTCCCATACCAAATGGTAAGAATGTGGCTATGTTATTCTTAGTAGCTTTAGCAACCCCTTCAGAGAATCTCTCCGGTTTGAAAAGATGCACGTCTTGTCCCCAGAGTCCAGGCTCATGGTGAAATGCTAAACATGGAATGACGAGTTCAACAGTAGCAGGGATAATGAGGTTTCCCAGCCTAACTTCCCTTTCAGCTTCCCTCTCAAGGACAACAACAGGCGGATATAACCTCAGAGTCTCATTGATGATCATAGTCATCTGCATGAAAATGAATATTTGAAAAGAAATCAGTATTTCATAGTTAATGAAGAACATTTATGCCACTTGAAGAAGCGATTGATTGAGTACTGGACTTTCTTACTGTTTTTAGTCTGGCAATGCCATCCGTATTCGGATTTTGTTTTCCAAATATTTCTAGGACCTCCCTTCTTGCTTCCTCTTGCCAATCCGTATGGATTGCCAAAAGAAAGACAGTCCAAGCAAGCAAACTACTAGAAGTTTCTTGTCCGCCAAAGTAAAATGTCTTGCACTCATCAACTAAGTCATCTACAGAAATCCTCTGGTTGTCATTGGCATCATGATGAGCCTTCAAAAGTAATCCAAGAAAATCACTCCCAAAGCCATCTTCTTCTCCAGCCATTGCCTTCTTTTCTCTTTTCTTAACAATCTCTATTATGGAGTTATATACTCCTTTCTCAAGATTCTCTGATTCGATCTCATCGCATGTTTTATAAAACTTACTGTAATATTCAATGAAAGACTTAACATGAGAACTAAACTAATAATCCAAGAATTCATTTGTGAATAGTTCTTTGATGTGCAGCAGATGGGGAAAATGAAAAAAAGAAAAAGAAAAAAGAATTCACCTGATACCAGGAATCCTGAGTTTCAAAAAATTTTTGAAAGATAACAAGGATAACTTCATCAGCACCTCAAAAATCTTCTCCCCTTCTAAGTAGCTGCTGCCAAATGCTGTCCTGGAAATCACTTCTGAGGTGAGCAACCGAAATTCTTCAAACATCTCAATCTCTTTGCCATCTTGATTTTTCCACCTTTCAAGCATAATCTCAGCACTAGCTATCGTTGCCGGAGTCATACTCTACCATCATGCCATTAACAAATTTACTTTCAATTTATGCCTTTCTTATTTTTCTGCCATTCATAAACAACTGTAAGAACTTACCTTTAAGCTCTCTCCATGGAAAGCATAGTTGGCCACCTTTCTCAATTTTCCCCATTTTTCAGTGTTGGTTGTTGTCACAAGTCCATCTCCCAGTAGCTGCTTCACAAAGCTTTTGGGCTTGCTTTTCGGATAAGCTCTATCTTTGTCATTCAGTATCTCCTTGCACAACTCAGGTTCCGTGATGATCAATTGAGGTCGAAGACCATACCATTGAAGAAAATTCTTCCCTGTTGCAAAAGATGACCAAAGTTATTTCAGAACAAAGACTCAAAAACCATAGTCAATGAGGAGTTTCTTTACCATATAACTTGGTCCAGGAGTGAAAATGAGGTTGAACTCTGGAAAATATGTCATGTGATAAACCTTGGGGCTTGCCCATGGCTTCATTTTGCATGTTGAAGATTTCTTTGGTGTTTCCATGGACAAGTCTGTAAGCAGGGCCTTTGATGCCCTGCAAAGCCATAAGCCTCTGTATGCTTCTTGGTTTCCACCATAGCTTGTGAAAGATCTTGATGAGAGCTAAAAAGAGGAACAGACACACAGAGCTTGAAAGAACGATCGCTACTTCTCCAGAGGAATCCATCTTTTTTAGCATAGTTTTTCTCCTTTGCTAGATTTCTGAACCAGATCAATATTCAGCTCCCTCAGCTGACTATTTAAATTGTCTTGTTCTGTTAGGGCTAGTTTTGCATTGCTATGTTTTAAAAAAAAATTACTTCTGCTATGCTACAAAAATAATCAGCTGTGAAAAAAATCAGTTAGATGTTTAGTAAACTATATTTAAAAAAGTACTGTGAGTAATCAAAGTGTCTGATAAATTTTTATCGTAAGTGCTTTCTGTGTGTAGAGGTGTCAAACGGGATGGGCCGGCCCAGCACGGCACGAGCTGAGCCCATTTAAATGAGGCACGGCACGGCACGAGCACGAATATTAATGGGCCGTACTCGGCACGGCACGAAAACTTGGGCCGGGCCGGGATAAAAAAATGAGGTCAAGCACGGCACGAGCCCAAACACGGCCCACTTAACATTTTTTTCTTTCTCAAAAGTCAAAATGCAATAATTTGACATCTAATGTCATTATTTATATGTTTTTTTCAATCATAAATATATATTTGATGTCTTTCATTTTAGGGAAATTACTTGAGTCCATAAAGTTGAAGTGTAGAGTTTGACAATTTTTGCCCTCCGCCATTTCATATTGTTTGGATGTTTGATTAATTAATGTTTTCAAATAGTTCATCATTTCTTGCCTCTAATTATATTTAAATGTTTATAATTTGAATTATCTAGTGGAAAAAAAAATGAAGTGAAAAAAATTCAAATTAAATGGATTGGTTCTTGGGCCCGAGTATGGCACGAGCACGAGCACGGGCACGGCACGAGCCCAGCCCGGCCCGTTTCAATATGGACATGGGCTTTGGGTTGGGCTGGGATCAATAATTTTACTAAATGGGCCGGCACGGCACGGCCCGATAAATTAAATTGGCCGGCCCGGTCCGATACGAAAACGTTAAATGCACGAGTTTAAATGGGATGTTGGCCCGGCACGGCCCGTTTGACACCTCTAAGTGTGTACAATGACAAAAAAAATGAATCATGATGATTAAATTATTTGTTGTTTTCTTATTTCTTATTTATATATTTTTTTTAAAACAACAACAACTTTACGCTTCATAATTTTTCTCTTTTTTTAATTCACACTTTTTTTTTTTTTCTTCTTCTTTTTTGGAACCCCTTTTTCTTTCCAGATCTCTGCATCTCTTTCTGCCGCTCCTTCTTTTTCATCTTCTTCCTCTCTTTCCTCCTACTAAACGCTACCTTACTGTAATAATAAATTAGGTGGTATAATAAAATACCACTGTCAATTTTGACCTTATCTGAAAACACACCAACTTGTATGTATATGAAGAAAAATGGCTAGGCGGTAGGTAGGACTTAGCACTGGGGGAGTAATCAAGGCCTATTTCTTTTATTTATTATTATTTGGTCTTATAAATTATTAATTTATACCAAAATTATGCAAAATAAAACGATGTATAAATTATAAAATACAACCATAATATATATATATATATATATTAAACAAATAGTATAATATTTATTTGGTTTTTGTTATTTATTAGTGATTGCTTTAGTGATTTCATAATGCAAAATCCATTTAATGTTGTATTTTTTAAGGTCCAATCCCCATCAAAATAGGGCATTTGGTGTTGTTAGAGTTTTAAGGCATGTTTGGGCATGCACTCTTAATTTTAACGATTACATACCCAAAGCTTTTCAATTTTTTGCAATCTAGTTCCGACATTAACTTTATCATTAAAATTTCCGTTAATTGCTTGTGTGGTAAGCCTGGGTCCCACCTATTCACTTTTTTCAGTGTCACTTGAAGGGCATTTTGTTAAAAAATGGTTTGGTATTAGTACGTGTAATGTGTTCTTCATGGGCGGGAAGACACCAATTACCCGAAAATACTCATCAACTAACATTGAAATAAGCGAATAGATGAGACCCATGCCTATCATGGAAGTAATTAACTAAAATTTTGATGTTGAAGTTAACGCTGGAACCATATTGCAAAAAATTGAAAAGCTTAGGATATATAATTGTTAAAATTGAGAGTGCAAGGGCAAACGTGCCTTAAGGGTAAGAGTTCGGGGTACTAAATCAAAATTAACCCATTAAGAAATTGAAAAATATATGGTAGAAAAACTTGATTATGCAAAACAAGTGATATTTAAATGATGTTTTGATGCATTTTTTTAAAGTTGTTGTGTAAATTACATATTGATTGTTTCTTTTATGTTACAATTGTGAATTTAAGGTCATATAATATTTTTTAAAACTTACTGAAGATAAAAAAAATCACATTAATATACATATATAAGGCCTCATTTAGGATGTTCGCTTAGGGCCTCCAAAACGTAGGACAGCCGCTGAGGGGAGACGACCCCATCCTAGGACCAGGGCATACCAAGACCTCTTTGATGACTTACGGAGGGGGTCTTAACCCTTATTCAACTGCACTTGGACGTATTCATTTTATTTTTTTCAAGTGAAGCATTGGTTTGTTGAACAAATTATTTATTCAAAGACCCTCTTAAATTTTAGTAATTTCTTCTTCTTTTTTCTTTATTTGTCTCTCGAGATTTTTGGAAAGTTGTTTCTTAGGAAACATTTTTTAATTCTTATAATAAGCACAACACAATCAAAAACTATAAAACTAATTAACCAAGAACAATAAAACCTAGATTTTGAGCATATTTCTTCAACTTGAAACTTCGAATTATAAAGAACAAGAATCCCAACCAAGTTTTCTATTGAATCAAATAATAAAGAAAAAAAGAAGTTAATAAAGATATGTATTACAATTTACAAAATTTATACATCTAGATTCTATATCTATCTATAAAAAATAAAATAAAAATACCTTCAAAGAAAGGCACAGGTCTAGCTTGTGGATGATTTGTTTTCCAACTCTGTGTTGGAGAAAACGAGAATCACAACAACACAATTTGCTTGTGTTATGAACTTCTGAGAAGACCTCAAGTGTTACTATGTTAGCAAGGATTTTTTCTTCTTGTTGTTGTGGCTAAGAAGGTCTTTTTATTTTAATTAAAAAAATATTATATTATATATTAATAATTGATTTGCTTCCTCAATACATTTCTTGAGAATTTAAAAGTTGATTGATTTGGCTTCCTTCCTCTTTGGTACAAGGGCCTTTTTAATCGTTTTGCTCATATTTCTTGTCAATTTGCTTCTCGGGTAGAGGTGTCAAATGGGATGGGTGGGCCCAACACGGCACGAGCCCAGCCCATTTAAATGAGGCACGGCACGGCACGAGCACGAATATTGGTGGGCCGTGCTCGGCACGGCACGAAAACTTGGGCCGGGCCGGGATCAAAAAATGAGGTCCAATGGGCCGGGCCAGCTCATGGCCCGACATGGGCCGAGCTTGGCCCGAGCACGCTTCAAGCACGGCACGAGCCCAAGCACGGGCCCAAGCACGACCCACTTAACATTTTTTTCTTTCTCAAAAGTCAAAATGCAATAATTTGACATCTAATGTCATT